TTAATTGTTTTTGTTTACAAATATTTATTTTCTTTAGGAAATCCATTCTGCCCCTCAGGCGATTCAAATTCCGCGCTGCTACCGCCGCTAGGACGCTGCACGACCGGACAGGGCAGTGCAAACAGGAGGAAACCATCGATGGAGTCCAGTGTACTCAACTTCGTAGGATGAAGAGATGCCGCCAAGGCAGAGCGAATTCTCGGCAGTTGACTGCCTTGATTGACTTCATGGAAAACAGAGCTGGCCCCAGAAAGCATGAATCCAGATGATTTCTGGCGTTTTACTTCGATTTCTTTATAATTATTGTACGAAAACGACAGGTGGAGTATGCCATTTGGTACAATACCCAATATAATTCGACACAGCTGTCAATATAAAAACGAACGTCGGCAACGGAGGCATTTACAAAAATCTTCTTTATCGACGTCGATCAAGTTCCTCGACGTGTTTCACTTCACCTTAACGAGGAGTCTTGTAGGGCTCGATAAACTACCGACACTCATCACGACATCTGTCGCTATATTAACGACGGTTGTTGCTTCAAGAAAGTTACAGAATAGGATTTGTCGTTACGGTGTCGCTTCGGTAGTCTAACGATAACGATAGCTGTTGTTACGAGTTACAGAATACGCCTCCAGAGGGACCAGGACCGGCGTCACAGTTAACATGTCATCTACCGAGTTCTCTACTTTATGCGTTGTCAACGCTCTTCCGCTGTATCTAATCCTCCTCAATCCTCCTTGATTAAGACATGGTTACTGCCTGAATTTAATAGTGAGGTTGATATATGTATTTCGCTCATGTTATCTGGATTGTATTGGTTTTACTACCTGCAGCGTACATTACGGAATGAACACTTGGAAAAGGTGTTCAATTTGATTTACACAGCCTCCATCTAAATATAAAATGTTTAGTACACGCTGTAGAAATTTCTCTTAAAATACTTTTGAGAATGTTATGACAACTCTTTAAATGGTGATTTCCATTGCGGGATTGAAGCATGAATTTTAGCAACTAACAGTTCAAAACATGAATTGTTCACAAAACAGTATTCCCTATATTTACTTCCTCTTTCCATGCTCTGCAGTGTTCACCAATAAATCCCAGAATTGTTTAGAAATGTCATTGATGATTGATTGACATTGGTAATTTTTAAATACTTCAATGCTGTTTAAAATGAGTCTGCTGTTCAGAGTATTTCTTTCATATTGCCGTACTAATAAATATTTAATAATTGGCATATGTTTGGGTTTGAGTTTGAGTTTGTTCTTAAGTCCACATAGGGCTGAAAATGAAAAGGAAAGAACACTTCCAGTTCAGACTACGCACCTCTTCAGTTTTATCGATGAATATGAACCTAGATTAAATGTCGAGACAAAACCACAACATGCTCAGAAAGCTGCAAAAGTATTCGTTAGACCTAGGTATTATTCAACAGAGCTTGGTATGCGTGATAAGCTTTTCGTTGGTATAATAACGAGTCTCGATTACCTGCACAGTCGAGCCATAGCTCTCAATAAAACAATTGCCCACATAGTAGACAAGGTGCGCTATTTTATTACAATTCCAGAGGGTATGAAACCCAATGTATCAATTCCTGGTATTGTGGGCTTTACTGACACAAGAACTGTTTTAAAACCATTTCATGTTATTAAATATATCAACGACAACTATTTAGAAGACTATGATTATTATTATCTTGTGAAAGATTCAACTTACATTAATGCAAGAAAATTAAAAGATATCGTAAGCAAGATAAGTGTTAGTCAAGATGTTCACATGGGCGTCTCTAGTGAGATCGAAGCACTATGTTCACTAGGTAATATTAATCACGATAAAAATCTTCTGCAATCATTTTTATGTACATATTTAATGTTTATACCAGATTAAACACTTTTCTTTTTTCTTCTAGATGCAGGCATACTACTCAGTAACTTGGTCGTACGAGAAATAAAGTCAAATCTGGATTGGTGCGTTAAAAATATATACTCAGACTCGGATGATATTAATTTTGGTAGATGTATTCTTCATTCCGTGCCAGTTCCCTGTATGAGTGAATTACAAGGTCAGACATTCCGGTCAACAAAACTTGCATCAACTTTTGATTTTGAGAACAGTCTTGCGGAGCTGATTTGGTCAAATAGTTTTGATAATTCTGTTTCGGTTTATCCAATTTATGATCATCTTACAATGTACAAAATGAATGCATATTTTGCCATGGTAAGTGTTTTCGATATTCAATGTTACTTTCATTTAGATAGAATCTTTTTACAGTGTATCAGAATTAAAATTTATTTAATTGTTAAATTAACTAATCGTAAATATGTATTAATTATAGTTGGCCTTGAAAAATGTACAAAAGGAAATTTCAAAGCTACGCAAGGAGATTCTGGAAACATCATACTTGGCTCCAGAAGAATACCAAAACATATCTTGGCCCATCGGTAATCAGTTGGGCAATAGAGCGTTAGGTCGTTATGATACGCTTCAGTGGATCTATTTTAATGAGACTCATACGTTTCTTGAGACCGATTTTGAAAACTTTCGTAACCTGCAAGGCAGTGCAAAAACAGATATCAATCATATTTTGAATACAGCTGTAAAACGAATTTCAAGAAAATATAATGGAGCCCTGGGTTTTAAAAAATTAATTAATGGTTATTACAAATTTGATGCTTCTCGAGGGATGGATTATATCCTTGATTTAAGCTTTATTGAGCTTAACACGGGTAAAGAATTATTGAAGAGGATAGAAGTTTGTAAACCATTGGGTAAAGTTGAAATTTTACCTGTGCCTTATGTCACTGAGAATACTCGAATCAATATGATCTTGATCGTGGACTCGTCAAAAAAGGAAGATTCCTTAAATTTTATGATGCATTACGCAGAAGCTTGCATGGAGAAGAAGGACAAGACATTCCTCTTAGTGGTAAATATTTATTTTTATTAAACTTGGGAACGAACTTTTGACTTGAACATTATGCACCGATAAAGTACATTATGAAGATAGAACATTTTATTTCAAAGAAATTCATTAATATCATGATATAGGTTCTTCTCTACGATCCAAATACACCATCAAAAGGAATGAAAGACATTTATCATGATGTGAAACAATTCGCATTATCGTTATCTGATAAGTATAAACAGGACCAACTGAAAGTGACCTGGCTTTCAATTCGACTACCAGTTGTTGCAAGTACGATAGAATTGGACCCAATGCTTAAAATCGCCATAGCTGACCTTAGTACAAAGAAGTTCTCTCCTGAGAGCCTCATTCTGTTTGTCGAAACATCAATTGAATTGAGGAATGATTACTTGAACAGGGTAAGTGCTCTGTGTTGTCCTTTTCTATTATTCAATCTATTAAAACAGTCTCTTTAAGAATTGTTTTTTCATTCAGGTTCGTATGAATACCATAAACCAATGGCAGATATATAGTCCGATTCCATTTTTTGAGTTTCATCCAGACGTTGCATATGCAGATGAAACAAATCATATAGATATGGATATTAATCGTAATCATGGCAGATATGATGAACACAATTTTAATAGTATATCATTCTACGTCAAAGACTACATCTCAAGTAAGTAAATAAAAGTAATATTTACGACATAAAATTATTGATTTATTTTTGTCATTTCAGTGCGTAAAACAGTAGAAGCAGAATTACCATTTGTACACACTGACAAGGACATCTCCCTGCTGTTAAAGTTATCTGAGCGTAATGTTGTGGGGTCTATTTTTGAACTATTTGTTAAATATAGTGATCTACATTCGTTCCGTGCTATCGAACCATTACTAAAGATTCGACATAAAAAACTTAATTGTGCTGCCACCTACAGCGATATTGTTTTTGAAGCCTGTGAGAAGCAGAGAAGCCTTCACCTAGGTCATAGAGGTCAACTGGCTAGATTAATATTGGATTACAGAGAGAAATAATGAATTTATCCCATTAGTACTCAATTTAAAAGATAAAAAGTTATCAAGATGAAAGCATATGTTGAAAACTGTCCCTATATTGTAAGAGATTATTTACTAATAGAATCAGTTCCTTAAATCTAAAACATTAGATTTATATATAATTGACGCTTATGCTTATCATAATACGTAAGTAATGACTGATATTCTTTCTAAAGTTAATTGCACTGTAAAAAAAGGATTTTACTGGAATACATGGTTCACTGTCCAGGGAAAGATAAGCACAATGAAGTACTAATGCAGAAAAGAAACCTGGTAAGATCATATTTATTCGCTCAAGAGAGGAGCTCACACGAGTACAGACAGTATGAGTTTAAAGAAATAAGGATTATTATAAAAGCCCTGTTACCTTATATGATAAAAAATGATTAAATTGATTTGTTCGATCCTTATGTAGTTTCTCACGATATCTCTGACCTCCTATTAAGGAAATTGTATTTGAAAACTCACGATTGGAAAACTAAAGAGTGTAATCCAATGCAAAAGGTTCAAAACGCATTGTAAACACATGCAATTAAAGAAACTCCTCCAGTGAAGTCTATTTTTTAGAGTTGAATGCATTCCTCCATTGTGACAACTCTAATTACAATATGTAACAATTAACTTATATTATTAAATAGCTTACAGCTCATAATGTATATTACAGAATAAATTAATTTCAAGACCACCTATCCCACTTTGAAGAGAAATCAAATTATGAAGGCTCTTGAATCAAAATAAGATGCATACTTAAAAAAAAGAAAACTGATGTTGAGCTTCCCCTAAACATTTTCCCAAGACCAAATTCATTTAAATTGTCTACTTTGTCTGCCATGAGTTCAACTTTAAGGAATGCCTTAATAATCCTATCCTCAATCACTGTCAGATTCTGACTCTGATAGCTGCAGATCATCATTGAGGAGATTGTCTGGCATTGATAATGACGGTGAAGACGTATCATTGACATCTCCTGTGATATTGGAGAATTATATTAGTTAAGAACATCGGTGTACTGGTTGAAAACTATCAAAATCGTTTAACAATTTAGTTTAAGATGACAAAATGAAATAATTACCATTGATGGGCATGGGTACTCGAATCCTATCTGCTTCGGAATCACTGTCAGAACTATCGGAACTGGAGGTACTGGAACTTGAATCGCTTAGAGCACATTCATCACTATCCATGGTAGCAACTGGTTTAACTGTAGTACCAGGTGAAGAAATCCCAGATGTCAAGCAATGTGGAGAAGAAGACGGAAGAGACGAAGTGGGAGCATAGTCCTCATTCTCGATACCTATTATAGGAAGACTGGCCAAAGTTGATGGAACTGTAGATGTTGGTGCCGATACACTGGAAAAATATAACTTTAATAAATTTGAAAAATTATTTCATTAACTACCATCTGAATGCTATTATTTGTACAACAAAATCTGCTGCATGAAGGAAACTTAAAGTAATAATGCTCTTAAATTAATGCACCTGCTATTTGGCAAATTGGGGGGACTTTTCCCATGATACGGTGATAATTGATGTGGACTGTGTGGCTGCTTAGGGTGCAACTGGATCGAAGGTTCCCTCTTTTTTCCACTGGCGACCTTCGTCCTTCCGGTCGCTCTACCATGAGTTGGGCTTCTTCTAAATTCAACTGGTGTAATTGGTCGATTTCCGTTATTAGACGAGGGCACAGTCAAGAAAGACTGTGTCTTTGTTTCTGCTCTGTAACAAATGTATTTTTTTAATGTGTATAAGGATAACACCACCAGTAAAAAATGTCAAGTATCTAACAACTTTTCTGTTATGTGACAGATTTTAGGATAGTAGAGTAAGATAAGGTAATAAGATAGAAGTATAGCACTAGTAATAGATAGAATTGTATAGTGCTCTATATTTTTTATCAGCAGTGTAATGGTAATTGGCAGTTCTGATTAAAAGATTAAATAATTTTTTTAAATGAAAGCAAATGTTCTGTTTCTTTTAAATAAATTGATTCACTTAATATTATGAAAATATTTTAAACATTTTTTTACCTGGTCTTTTTTACTTGTATATTTGATGATAACTTTTCTAATGTTATTTCTCCAGTGACTCTGTCAATGATCAAAACACATTCTTTATGATATGGTCGCTGTGAACCTTTGAATACAGTATGTGGAATACCAGCCCCATCAAGATGTGGAACGGTTACAGTCATTGTATTGTTAGTTCCAACATCGACTCTAGCCATTTTAGAGACATCCACGCTAGCTGGTTTAAAGTCATCTGAAATAAATTAATACTCGTCAAAGTAACAAGGTTCCACATATAAATACATTAAAGCTATAATTTATAAAGGTTAATAACATGTATTACAAGGACTAGACTATTATAAAATACAATAAATCACAGTTAATAGTTGGTAAAATTGTTCGCACAGAAATTAAAATAGGTACAAGAGACAGTGTAAGAAGGGGCAAATAACTAAAGTTGACACCAGCAAGTAACGCAAGGAAAAGTCATAATTGAAGATTCTAATTTCAATAGAATATATTTAACTTACATTTTAATGTATGAAATGCAGTAGACCTGTTGCTGGTGAAGGTTGGTCCGAGCTTGAGTTGTCGAACCTCTGGTCCAAGACCAAGTCTCTCGGCCATATCACCACCAATGTTCTGAAAATTAGGATCTGAAGTTGAAGTAACTGATCTCATTGCAGTGAACTGTTCCTTCCAGTATACTTAATTCCGGGAAATTGCGCCAGTTAAAGACCCGTTTACGATTTCTCTTTAATCGCCAGCACGTTGAAATATGGCAGGTGCAGCTGCGGACATCTTTTGGTAACAGCTGCTCTGATAAATATCCCTAGACTCGCCCGTACGTGCTCAATAGAATAAAGCTATATATCTTTTTGATAATTCAGACTAAAACAATGTTCGTAGAACAACCAAATAAGGAATTCGTGAAGTAATCGCCTTGTACAAATACATACGACCCCATACCATATTTCCCAGTGACCTAATTTTCCACTGAATCCCCATCAGTGTTGCTAGATTTTATTTCAGAAAATTCGTGGAAAGTGGTGGGGGGACAGCAGAGAAATCCGTATAAATCCGTATAACCTAAATATACTGGCGGACTTGCTGCACCCGCCGGCCGTGCAGCGTACTAGCAGCGGGAGCAGCGCGGAATTTGAATCGCCCAAGGGGCAAAATGTATTTCCCAAAGAAAATAAATATTTATAANTGCGGTAACTCAGGCGCGACCTGGAAGTTCGTGGCGCATACCAACTTGCCGGAACACCGTGTAACCAGTGTCCATTAACCGGGTAATGGATCCCCGAAGACGTGAATATTTTTAGCTGGAGGTAAATACGACCCTATAATAAATATTTTCTAATAGTAATTAATACTCTTTAGCTTGAACTTTGAAGTTGATTGAAAAAAAAAGTTATTTAAACAAAGAAGCCTAAAGTATAAATAACAAAATTAACGTTCTCTTAAATTCTCAATGTACCCGGTAACTTACGGTATGTTTCACAGTTACCTTCTCCAATTTAATGTTACCGAGAATTTTCGAACTCTAACTGTGACGAACACGACAAATGAACGAGGGAGTAGGTTCCGGGCCCGTAGCGCCCGGAACCTACCCCCGGAAGCGGAAACTCTCAAAGAAAACTCATAATACTAGGCCCGAATGATCTCTGCCTCGACGATAGTCGCGGTGCGGTCGGCTAGCACAGAGCGCTTGCGCCAGATTCGGAGAGGGCGGAGTAAGACTAGACTACGGGATTGAGGAGAAACTCAAATCGGGGAAATATGGGAGAATCCAGCCCAGAAAATCAAAAATAGAAATCAAGAAAATTTAACAGACTTATTCGAATAAAAGGATTAGAAAAATCAGTTACCGAAAATTTAGCCCGCTGCCAATAGATAATTACACAAGAGACGACCGGGTTCGACAGAAGGCCACCCCAAAGGAAATCCGATCAGAACTGTAACAATTCGAAAGCGAGGCAGTTCGCAATAAACTCGATCTGGCAAATATAAAAAAAGAAATCCACGGCTACTTGGCGCCGGGAAAGACAAAGAGCGAGAAAAGTCCGAATCGGGAAACTCGAAAATAAATTTGACTTAAATTCAAAAAGAAAGGATCGCTAAGGCTGAAATTTAATTCATCAAGACAATAATATGCGCTCGCTTACATGGACTGCTGGAATTAACGTTACGCCTGAAAATGCTACTCTCAATTAATTACGCGACCTAATCTCGACACTTCTCGAACTTTAAATTACATAACTTTAATCACAAAAATTACTCGAAGGATGAGTCGCAAAGTTAATCTCAAAATTAAATGCAAAAATTACGGTTACAACCGGAAGAGAAACGAGTTTTCCGGGAGAAAAAATGGGTTGCGGACGCAGGCGGCCCCGCGGTCACCACGCGGCTTCTCCGCCTCCGACCCCGAGGGAAAGACAATAGACAATCCTATGACTCGAATTCTGGCCGCGACAAAAAGACTATAAATTCGCACACTAGAAAAATCCTCGTGCCGAAAACCAAAACCGTTCCCAAATTTTCGCGAGAGACGATCAATCTCAAAAGTCAACTTTTCTCGCCGGAGGCCCAAACCGTTCACAAACCTACGCGAGAAAAGATAAATTTATTACACTCGAAAAACACCGTCTCGACGGAGACCAAAACCGTTCACAAATCTCCGCCAGACAAAGAACGCTAAAGTTTCGCGGTCAGATACTAGAAATTTCCGAGTTACGCGCTCCTATTCAAAATGACGTGACGGAAAACTACCGGACATAGAAAATTATGGGACACGACGCAAAAAAAAAAAAGTCGCCCTTGTGTCCGCTCGAAAAATCCCGCGGCTTCCCGAGAGGCTAACCCAAAGCCCGATTTCCGTCTGCCGTAGACCCCACCAGGGCAAATCGGAAGATCGCCCGCGTGAGACTTATGAAGGAAACGTACCGACTCCGCGGTACGTTTCCACTCACCGGTGCGACACTATCCGGGCCCCACGGCTTCACGACATTTCTTGGCGACTCTAACTTATCTCCCGACGTTGGGAGTTCTCGACCGGGCACGTGATACTTACTTCGACTTAGATAATTCGTCGCCGCTCGCCGGCCCCTCGGCTGAGTCCCTTGCTGAACCGGGAAGTCCTTAGGTCCTCGGCGACAATAGACAATTTCCGCAAAGGCTCAGATAATCACAAGTTAAAGAAAACTTCTTGAAGCGTAGATCTAGTTCTCGCAGGCAGAGAAGATCGGAGCCCTCCGTGCGCTGTCATAAGTAGGGATTCGGCTGGCCGGTCCGAATCCTAATCGGCGTCGTTAATTGGTCGAGATGCTCCTTGATATCTTGATTTTGGCGGGCTCGGCGTGCGTTAGCTCACTTCCTGAGGCCGAGGGTTGCGGTGGCGCGGCCGTAGCGAGCGGTGGCCCGTCGGGCCCCGGCGCGCCGAGATGTTCGCGGCGGCCGAAATTTTCCACTCTGGGAGACTCTGGCTCATCCAGAGCAGATCATCGGACAAGCCCCGGGTACTCCGGTGAGGATGGAGTCGGGCTCCTTGCCCGGAAGTTATTGTTCCTTCCCGGGGCACGGCATTTCCTCCCCCCTTGTCGGTGGCAGCCAAGGTCTTCTCGAGAGCTCTCACCTCCTGGTCCGGCTCCTGACCGGGTAGTCTTGGGGCTCCTGCGAGTGGCCATACCCGAGCCCCCACGGCCTGTCTACCCCCCCCCCCCCCCCCCCAGGCAAGGCCCCCAGGGAGTGTAGGGGGACCAACACGACCCTCCGGGTCAGCCCGATGGTCTGGCTGTGGCATCGCAATCGGTATTGCCAGTCCTAGATATGCTCATCGTGGTTTCCTCGACGGCTTCGCTCTTAAAGCCGGGGCGACGAGCGGTAAGGCGTACGTGCGGCATCCGAGAGGTCGATGATACTCCGGTCTGACGACCGGAGCCTCACTACGCATTACAGAAATTTGGCGAATCCTCGAACACTTCGCCAAATATTCATTCCAAATATTCCTGCGAGTGCTCGAGAGCGTTCCCGGGAACTCTGAAAATGAATGGATAATTTTTGTTGACGATGCGATGGACATTATCCGATAATTGCTGGGTCCCTTGGAGGGCCACTAGACCCGGAGATTCCGCGAGAACCCGCACCTCAGGTAGAGCATTCGCTTGTCTGAGGGGTAGGCCGGGATTTCCGGCAGGAGGGGATGTGTGGCGATGAACGGAGATGACTGATCGACTTAGGTCGATTGAGAGACAAGGAGAGAGGATGTAGTAAGTGATCGTTCGGGCAGCGCGGAACGATAAAATGTGAAGAAAGTGTGAAGTGCGTGCTGTCGACAAAGAAAGAAGAGGCGGCCATCCTAGGAGGGCCGCTGAGGAGACACCAAGAAAAGATGGAAGCTCAGGTAATCATGCGGGGCGGGCCCGTTGGGACCGCTGCGTGGGCACCGAGGGTTCGGGAAGAAGACGACTTCGGCGGTCCGCAGCGGTTGGTGCGACTGGGCCGTGGCTCTCCCGGGTTTCTTCCCCGGTCGGCTTCCGGAGCCCGCTCGGGGGGGCTGTCATGGGGCCTTGGTGCCTCGAGATCGGCGCTGCGGGTGACCCGGGCGTGTGGCGCACCTCATTTGGGGCTGTGCTCCATGGGGTCGCGTGTCCGTGTCCGGGTCCGGCGGCTGGGCCGTGACGGGTCGGTTCGGAACTCCCCTTGGCTGGGCGGGATCGACGCGGGGTGGACCGATCGGGGTGCGCGATTCGCGGTTGGAGGTGTCTCATAAGTGAGACGGGCATCACGCTGTGGCGCCAGTAATGTTTAACGTTGCGGTAACTCAGGCGCGACCTGGAAGTTCGTGGCGCATACCAACTTGCCGGAACACCGTGTAACCAGTGTCCATTAACCGGGTAATGGATCCCCGAAGACCGCGCGAAGTTGGTCCTCGAGGAGCTCGCAGTTGGCCTTGGCCAGTCAAGTACAATGACATTCGGTGGGGTCTTCTTCCCTTCCCTTTCCCCGTCGTGGTTCCGGGATGAGCTCCTCGAGACCGACGCGAAGGGTCCAAGGATGGTTCTTCAAGGATTAAAACTCGGCATTGACTAGCTCGTGAAAAGTACGAGATAGAATTACTATAAATAAATTTTTGTAAAAAATAAGTTAAAGGTGTAGTCGTTTAATAAGTACAGGACAGAAGCGTAATTGTAATACGAGTAAGCTCCACTCGGGGACGAGCATAAAATTTTGTTGATAATTCTTAAAAATCACCTCCGCTTGTTTGTCGATTTTTAGTAACAATTCTTATCCATTTTGGCCGTTAAATTAATAACTGTCATATCTGGCGTATGGACACGTGGTTTTTGCTTACATATAGCATTGCCGGCCAGGTGATCGCTCCGTCAGGGGGGAACCGGTCTGGAGCGCACGAGGGCCGGCGTGGCGCAGTGAATGTTGGGTTTCGCCGCTAGGCGTCGCAGCGCTCCCGCAAGCTACCCGTCACTCGCTAGACATTAAGGGCACGCAGGGAGCGGGGGTCAGTATCGCTTCTCGGCTCATTGAGCTAAGATCAAATGTGTAGTATCTGTTCTTATCAGCTTAATTTCTGATACACCCCTCATGTAGGGGTCGGAAAATTGAACTGATTTTTGAGCTATGGCTGGAGGTTAGGGGCTTGCCCCGCTTCGGCCGCGGTCGACCTGGCATTGCACTATCGCCAGGTTCGGCTTCTTATTTATTCAAACATAGAAATAAACAGCGAAAAGCGGTATTGACTGAGGAAAACTCCTCAATGAAAAGTACAAATTTCATTTTTTTGGGGTCGCGTGTTCGTGTTCGGGTCCGGCGGCTGGGCCGTGACGGGTCGGTTTGGAACTTCCCTTGGCTTGGGGGGGTCGTCGCGGGGTGGACCGATCGGGGTGCGCGATTCGCGGTTGGAGGGTGTCTCAAGTGAGACGGGCATTACGCTGTGGCGCCAGTAATGCCCGACGGCGTGTCCATCCCGGGCTGATAGCCTTGACGAGCCTGGGAGAC